AGGTAGATGGTGAGTTGGACAACCCAAATGGCATGGCTAACCACTTGTACAAGCCTTCATGGATTTTAAAGGTTGTTTTCCACTCATCATCTAGCCTGATGCGAATCTAATGATATCCTCTCTTCAGGTGTATCTTAGTGAATATTGTAGCTTGACTAAGTTGGTCCAGCATCTCCTCCACCCGAGGTATGGGAAAATGGTACTTTATAGTGATCTTGTTGATGGTGTGACCATCTACACACATTTGGCAAGAGCTATCCTTCTTGGGAACAAGTAGGGCAAGGACACCACAAGGACTTAGGTTGGGCTGCATGTGTCATTTCTAGAGCAAGTCATTTGCTTGTCTCTGTAATTCAGCATGCTCTTTGGGATTGAGCCTATAGTGCAGTCTATTCGGTAGAAGGCCCCTGGAATGAGGTCAATTTGGTGCTGGATGTCTCCAAGTGTGGGAAGACCATTAGGCAGATAGTTGGTGTGTCCTTTCAAGTTGGACTCGTGACGAGAGCCAACATCAATCCCTCAACCTCGCTCTCAAACTCTTTATGAGATATCAAAGTGAAGGCGATCCCAAACATCTTTTGTTGCTTACATTGGGGCCTTGCTAGTTTGAGCACGAACTTGAATCCATTCTTGACAAGGCTATGTGTTACTCCTTCCATCATTAATGACACTTCTGACATATTGCCATGGTCTACCTAGGAGAAGGTGGCAAGTATCCACCTATATGACATCGCACCAAACCTCATTAGTATAGAACTTACCCATGGCAAAATTGATGAGACAGTGCTTAGTGACTTTCACTTCAGCACCTCACTTGAGCAGTAGTAGAGAGATTAGGAATGAAGATGTGCCCTGATGGATAGCCAAAGCTTTCGAACTACTTCCTCTGATACCACATTCTCATAGCTTCCACCATCTATCACAACACTAGAAACCTTGCCACCAATGAGACAAGTAGAATGGAAGACGTTGGCGTGGAGTCAATCTTCAGCCTTTTGAGGTGAGTAGGCTTCTACACACAACCAGTGGTCTCGCCCTTAAGGTTGTCATCAACAAACTCAACGTTCTCCTCTGCTTCAGACAAACGGTTGTCATGCTAAGGCTTTGCATTATCATACATCACCCACTTCAACTTGCAATAGTTGGTTGTGTGTCCAACCATATTGCAACAAAAATATCGAACACTCTTCTATGAGTCAAGCCTCGCTAGGGCCTTTGTTGAAGAAGCACCTCGAGTGGTAGGGCTCAAAATAGTGGGCTTACTGCTTTGTGAATGTTGAAGGGTGAAGGGTTTAAGGGTTCACTAGGACCACAGTTTTTCCACTCTTGACGCTACTTGTTGAGCATAAAAAATGGAATAGTTGTGTTAGGCCACCAGCAGTTGTTGCCTCAGGACCAGTTTCAACTCTTCAATATATTGGGTGATAGTAATTTCCTTGGGTTCTTGTAGGCTCACCTGAGCTAGTAGGGATTGAAACTAAAAGGTGTATGTACCCATCCACAACCTTGGCCCCTTATCACACGGAGTGGATCTGCATGAAAAAGGCTCTAATAATAGTCTAGGGGAAGGAGCTCTCTTTGTAGTTTGGCCTGCATGGCCTCCCAGGTTCGGATCTTGGGTTTGCCTTGCTAGCGACGAGTCTGACAAAGGTTGTCCAACCAAGCAAGAGCTTGGGCTTGCAATTTAAGGGCTACGAAGGGTACCTTATTGTCCTTAGGAACCATCTTGTGGTAAAAAATTCTTCATGCTACTCAACCAGTCAACAAAACCTTTTGGGTGAATAGTGCTTGCAAATTTGACAATTTCACACTTGATACCACCATCCCAGTTACATGGGAGGGGCCATTCTTCCATTGCATGATGTCGATGATGATAGGATCCACATTCAGGTGACTCCCAAGGGGAAGCCAGGAGATTCCATGTCGAGTCGGTGGGGAGAGAGAGATAGAGAGATAGATGAGTACTCCAGGAGATTCTCCTGCCTCGACGCCCAACGATCAAGTTTTTAAGTTCTTGGACCTGAGCAGAGATCTATTCTATAGGTTTGTTTGTGTTGGTGATGCATTCCTCTAAGTCTTGCATTGAGGGAGCAGGTCTCTACAAACCTCGAACTGAACTCGCCTTAGTGTGGTGTCCTCCACGTCCAAAAGTCATTCTAGCATTAATACTAGATGGTGCAACCAGTAGACCTTAAGCAAAGTAATCTCACAAAAGAAAATCGACGGGACAACAAAGGCATTGTAATAATAGGTACTGTCATAGTGCAAACACCCTTGAACACTCACATCCCATAAAATTAATGCTTCTAGAATCAACAAGGATGTTGACAAATGTAGGGGCCCATCTGAATGAGCAGCTCATGTTGGTTGCTCAAGCCTTTGCTTCCCTTATCAAGTGTTAATGGAGCTAAGGGCGTTTTTCCTTTGAGGATTGGCCATTCAATAACTGCCTGGCAGTCTCATACAACAACCAGTGTAATCCAGACCAAAGAACAAGACAATTTTAACCCCTGTAAGAGGACAAGCAGTTTAGCCCTCAAGGAAGTTCCTTCAGCTGCTGGATTTGAATAGCTAAGAATGACACTTCCTGAGTCTTTTGGCAATCAGTGCCTCATGCAGTAATGTGGGGCATTTGGGATGAAAGAAACACCCGTATCTTTGACAATAAAAGCAGAACCTTGGAGGAGCTAATCTCAGATATTACCTATCTTTGCATCCTTTGGTCGGTGAATTCAGATCTATTTAAAGGACTTTCAATCAATGATATTATCAGAAATATTCACCCCTTTCTGTTTCTGCCTCATCCTCAGCAAACTCCCTTGAGGCATCCCATTTCCATCAGTGAAGATGTGATAACCCTTAATTTTGACGGTTGTGCCTTAGGCAATCCGGGCTTTGCAGGTATTGGTGGTACAGTAAGGGACGAAAGGGGCAATATCTGCTGGACTTTTAGTGGCCCAATCGGTTGGGCCGACTCCACAAAGGCTGAAGTGATGGCTGCTCTCACCGGAATCAGGATAATTAAGAATTTGGGTATACAGAATTTGATCATTGCAGGTGATTCAGCAAATACAATAAAATGGTTAAGAGACAAAAAAGGGGGCCCTTGGAGACTTTACCACTATCTGACTGAAGCTTGGGATTCTTTGGATGGATTGAATGTTAACTTAGTTTGGATTCCAAGGGAATACAATCATACTGCAGATGTCCTAACTAAATTTGGTGTGTATTTGGAGCATCTGTATAGCGACAAGCTTCCTCCTTTGTATCTTGCAAGGGTTCCCCCCCCCCCTGTTTTGTATATCTCCTCTTGTCCCCCCCCCCTTTTTTTCTCAATAAATCTTGGTTAAATTTTCTCAAAAAAAAAAAAAAACAATGACACTTCCTGCCTGATTTCTAAAAACACTACCAACCCCTGGAAAGCCTCGTTTACCAAGAAAGCACACATCAAAATTCAGCTTTATTCTTCCCAAATACAATTCACTCCTAACAAACCCACCCATGGCTAGACTATCTACAATATCTTTGTGAACCTTGGGATCTATATCTGAAAGAGATCTTTACTGTGGAAGCCAAGGGTCTGACCTGCTTGATGTGGTGTAGCAGAATCCATGGACTGTCATTGTTATTATGCCTTCTCAAAGCCAAGCAAGTAACTCAACCTGAGACCCTAAAGAAAAATTCAGATCTCTACCACAATAAATATCTACAACTTATTATATAATATATGCATATGCATACAAAAACATATAGTCCATATGCATATTTATGCACATATTTAAATGCACTCTGGAAGCCAAGATTCTTGCCTTGTTGATGTGGTATCATAGAATGCATGACCCTTTCCTGTTACACATTCAGCCCACAACTAAGGGTATTCATTATACGGTTCAAACTGTGGTTTGGTTCGGTTTATACCTATAAACGGTTTGGTCTGGTTTGAGAATTTTCTAAATTGCAGTTTGCGGTTTTGGTTTGGTTTATTGAATTTTATAAACCAAACCAAACCGTAAATCATAAACCGAAATTATATATAATATCAATATATGACATAAATATTATATATAATATATCTAAATGGAATACATAGAATTATAAATATATATATTGAACTCTTTATTTTTATAAAAAAATAATAAATAAAAGTTTTAAGTTTTAATTTTCAGAGGAACTATTTGGGCTTTCTAATTGGGTTAAGCCCAAAAGAATCATAGAATGGTCCAAAGTCCCCAAACTGTAATAAAACGGTTTGGTTTGGTTTGGTTTCCATACCAAAATGGTTTGGTTCAGTTTAGAAATTTCTCAAACCGTAATTTACCGGTTTAGTCTGAGATCTTCTCCAAACCGCACCGAACCAGACCGTGACCACCCCTACCCACAACTACCTGGGCCCCCCTTCACATCCCCCATGAAGTCAAACAAGAAAACCAACTTGTAATTTGGCACTTTTTCAGGGGCTCAATATATCACCTAATAGATATACAATATTTATTTTGCCTGGTCCAAAGCCCCATATCCATGTCAAAATGTGACATCCATGCCTGTGCCCATAGATCATAGATATTTCTTTCTACAAAATCCATGCATCCTGATTGAACTTTGGTGGCCAGGCTATATATAGAGCTTTTCGGAGTCTTCCCATTTTCTAACATAACTGTAAACTATGCAAGGTGTCATCCAGCTGGTTGTAGTGGAGGCTTGGGATCAAATCCCGCCTGCACCTGGGTTGGNGGGGGGGGGGTATGGGATGGGGGATGGGCTACCCCCCGTTGTGTAACCCTTCAAAAGAAATCAAAAAACAAAAACATAACTAGAAATTATGACTTTATGTAAAAAAACAAAATAAGAAAAAATGATAGATTCAAATACCAAAACATTATCCATTGGATGTAAGATATATGTACTAGAAACTATACAGCCAGTAGTTGTTCATGCTTCAGAGAACAATCCAAAAGCCATAGGGTAACCAGTAGATTTAAACAGTGTTGTAAGAACCTGACCTAACAAGCAGAGAGTATGCAAACCAAGCTCACGGTTTCTCTGGATCTTCTCATAGAAACTATCTGGCCTCCAAGTTTCAGTAAAGAATGGTATGGATACTGTTTCACCATAGCGGTAGAGCTGCAAACCACAAACTCCAACTGCATTCATTACAGATGCATTGTGTATCACCTTGACTACTACTCCCAATTTCTTTGCCCGCATAACCAAATCGGTATGTGTAGTGGCTCTGGTTTCAAAATTAGAAAATCAAAAACAAGATAGCAACCAAACTAAAATGGAAAACAGAGAGATCAAGTAAAAGAGATATTAATATGAACTACAGAAAGAATTTAAATTTTTTCTAGGTTAGGACCCACAATAATAAAAGCATATTTTCAGATAAAACTGATCTTGTAGCAGTACCATACAGAACAGGCCAGAGGAAAAGTGAGGTATCGCATCACCCCACAAAAAAGCAGTTTTACAGCCCTTTCTTTTGGTAGTTAATACCAAGAATTAATCCATAGATCCTGGTACAAAATGGTTACAATCCTCTATGTCATGCATAAATACTTCAAACAAGGTTTCAACCAATACCAGACCCTTGACCTTGAAATGCAAAAGGGAAAAATGACATAGATGATAGATGAGCTCTGACCCTGCAGTACTTGAGTACTGGAGCTTTTCCAAACATGTTATGTTAGAAGATGAAATTTTTCTCCAACCATTTCCTTTAAAACTAGATAATATGGAAACATGTTATGTTCAAGTTCTATTCTATAATTTTGTGTGTTATACTAGCTCATCTTTGTAACTAAGAATTCAGCAAACTAAAGGCCATATTAACAATATGGAAGCCATTTATTTTAGATTATTTAATTTATCATTCCTCTGTATTAGAATACATAAATCCATCATTTTTTCGGTATACATAAATATACCATATGAGATGGTAACATTACAGGAACCCCAACAAAAATTATGAGATTATTTCTTCAAGTCATGAATAGGACTTCATTGCTATTTATATCAACAACCCTGTAGAGAATTCATTCCATATGATTTCTTTATGCTTTAAAATGTTAATGGACTTCAATGGGATAATTCATTCCATATAGTTCCTCCCAACTAATGACAATAAATTCATTAAGGATGACCATTTAATTGATCATCAATGGGAAGATGCCAAATAAGGTCTATAAAACCAAATACATTAGATTCCCAACACCTCTCACGGGTTATCCAAGTGCAGTGCAGTCCAAATACATACAGAATTAATCAAAAGAAAGAAAGAAAATCCTTACCCAAAAGGATCCCCAACAATCAGAAAGGCCACATTAGATTCTCGAGCTTCTAACAATATATAATCTGCCCGTTCCTCGACCATTTCTCTATCTGCAAGAATAATTTGCCTCCCATATAATTCTTCCTGCAAAACCCATGTCACCTTTTCAATTTTTTTATTACCCAAAAAAATAAAAAATGTGGAAAATAGAATTTCAAATGCCATCCAAACTTGAAGTCATGAACTGAAAAGATACATCCATCAGGACATATCAAGCAAGTTCTATAACATTTTGTATGCCATAATTAAGCATGAGAAAAGAGAAGAAAAAAAAAAAGAACTTTACCAGTGTAGAGAGACCATTTGAAGAGAGACCAAAAGAGAGAAGAGAAGTATAGGCCTCCATGAACACCTTATCACATTTCTTTACTGCTTCAAGGCCTCTAAGTGTGATATCTCTCTCATCACCTAAACCCAGACCGATTATATACAGCATCTTCCTGTCTTACTCACTGTGTTCATGATAAAACAAAATTTAGAGTAATCCTTTCAAATAAAATAATAACAAAAGACAACTTGCCTAACTATATTTTTTGGTTAACTTGTTGATATACTCACACACACACACACACTTGTCGAATGGCAAAACCCACATTAGGCCTGTGTGTGACTATATCAAGTTAACCAAATATTTCCAAGTTAAATGTATTGCTTCTCCAAACACCCTTCTATGTTTTTGCCATTGTCTTTTATCTCGTTGTGATATTATTGTCGTACCATTCTAGTTGGATTTGAACTATTTTCTCGGATTTCTTTCTGATGTGAACTGTAATATTTTAAGCTACCAGTTATGGTGAAATAGAACCCAAATCCAAGGTTTCAACCATTAGCACCAAACAAATGACCCGACTTCTAGCGGTTAAGAGAAGAAGTGACGCAAAAATTGTTTTCCTAATTCAGGAAAAAAAAAAACTCTGGTTGCAAGTCTAGATGGTTGCGCTTAAATCCACTGCTGAAGAAGATGCAGAAGTGGATGTACAGCCTAAACATTATATTAATAAACTCAAGAAATTGCCACTTCTGACTGAGGTCTGTCTCTGGAAGTAAGATAAGAAAGGAGGTGGAGCCTCCTTGGTTATACACTTTTTGAGAAGAAGGAAAGAGAGGGGAAGGAGGAAGGTATCTTACCTGAAGCTGATTCCCTGATTGCCAAACTTGATTCCTCTCCCACCTCGCCTGCGTTTTCGCTTCGCTTCGCCTCGCCTCGCAGTCTTCTAAAAGACCATGGGTGGCCCCACACAGACAGCCCTCAAGCGATGGTGGCGTTCGGACTTTACCTACTTTGAGGAGTAATTGAGTAAGAAGAATAGAATTGACCAAAAATAGTAAGAATAGGAAAGTAGTGAAAGGAACGAGTTGTTCAAGCTTCATAAACAATATATTATGAAAACCATTCTAGAATCATAGAAAAGTTGGAGAGAGTGTACATATTGTTCATGCTATATGAAATTAAACATGAATAGAAAGAAAAAAATAATTTTGGGTATAAATTTTAGAAGATTGATCATGATTTTATCATAAAATTCTTGATCAATTAAGAATTGGATCATTCCAAAATGTTGGAAGACTTCGGCTTCTACGTAAAGAGGTTGTTGAAAGCAAGACAAATTCTAGAGATATACTTTTTCAACAAATCGGAACGTATCTCCGGAGTTAATGATGTGTGCACATGTTACACATTATTTTTATTGTTTTATACATGGTTTTGATGATGATTATTAATGGTTTTTACCCTAATTGAACTGAATTTCAGGAATTTGGGACAATTTAGAGTTAAGAGAACATAAAACATGGTGATATGGCAGCAAGGGGAGGACTTTGGCCCACCAAGGAGAGAAGCCCAACTGCAGCCCAATGGGAGGCTCCAAAACGCGGCTGACTTTAGCAGAGTTCGAAAATGAGTAGGTGAAGGGATGAGAGATCCATCATATGCATAGTCGAACCCTGCAGGTGGTAGGGCGAAATTTCAAAAATTTCTCTCTCTCCCATATGGGAATCACATTCCCTGTTTTAGAAAACTGCATTTTCAATGATCAATCTTGAACCTAAACCGGACCAAATCTGAAACCAAAAGTTGGAGAGGGATGTATCTAATACGGAGTAACAGTAACTCCCAACGAAGGTGTTCACGCCCAAGGAAAAACGCCAAAGACTACTCCCACTAAAGATGACACAACGTAGGGTGGAGCAGAATCAGCAGGTGGTTCTTCAGCAAGAATTCAATGAAGGATGAGTGAGCACGATTTCAAATCAGTTTTTCACCAAAAACTGATATCAAGAACGCTTCTTGATCGCTCCTACAGGTGAAGATCGAACTGGCAATGGCGGCAGCAACAGGAGGAGGCAAGAGCAAAAGATGGCGTCAGTCCAACTGTAGTTGTCTTCTCTCTTGTATCAGTAAGACTGAGGGTGAATTAGGGTTCGCCCTCCTCCTCTATTTATAGCTTTAAAAAGAGATTCTCCTAATCCCATTAGAAGTTTCCTAATCCAAATCTGGTATTTGGATTTGGACTCTCTTTAAGAGATAAGTATAAACCCTTGTCTTGTCTGCAGATAAAGATCAGCCCTCCTAATCTTATTAGGAGTTCCTAATCCAAATCTTTATTTGGATCTGGACTCTCTAAGTGGATAGGAATAACTCCCTATCCTATTTGCTGATCTAAATCCCAGAACCGCCCCTCTTTAATTAATCAAATTAAACCAGTTCGATTTGGGCTTTAGGCCCATTAAGTCCATGTGCTCACTTATTCTCCAAACTGCTGCCCAGTTGGGTATCCTTGTATGGCGTGGGACCCAAACATTGATTTACTCATCAGCCACATGGGTTCAGCCCAGCCTCTGTTACAAGGCCTSGYCGAATTCAYTRTASGWGACARYGAAYCCYYGAGTCCATCACCATGGGTTCTTAATGGGCCCAACATTTACACTAAATGGTCATTGGGCCAAGCCACCTTATAAAAACCCAAGGCTGTGGGCAGATGCAAGATTAGCCCATCAAGTATTACCCTCAATGGTCTTACACTTAAYCTCTCAGCCCATAATGATCAAACACTGCCCGACAAGAGATGACCCTCTCCCTCGGCTGCAATGAACAGTGTTGCACTCTCTACTCACATGGATCCCGGGAATTAAAACATTTTGCAAACATTTTGACACCATAATATATATATATATTTTGCAAAACAAATTTCAACGGTTGAAATCGGTTGCCGACATCTTTGGTTTCCATCAGAGAGAATACATCCCCGATCATTCACTTTGTCCGACAAAGGGGCTGATCCTGTCACTATGATCACCCACTCAGATGAATTCTCAAACTGTCCCAACATACCCAGGTTTTGATCATCTCTAAGGATCTCACTGATTGGCATATCAAAGACAGCCCAATCCGACACCTAGTGCAGTATCATAATCGAGTCTAGGGGTCAGGTGTAACATTCCAGTTTTGCCCATTTGTCTCCAAGGTCCAGGGCAATATTGGAATTCTGGTCCGGTTCAAGGTTTCAAGAAAATCCACACTGCATGTACCTCAGGTTTCACCCTAGCAGCTGAGACAAGTCACCCCAACCAACTTGGCGGCACATCAGTGTCAGCATTGGCAGGATAAATCTCCCTAGATCTATCCAACGGTTGTGAAGATTCTAAACTAACACGAGTCTCATATGTGTCCAGTTTAAGGGTATTACACAGAAACAGACCACAATAACATGAATCAAATATGTACTTTATTTATTTACAATAAATGTCATAATGTACATGATGAAAATAAAAATTATCATATTTTTATCCCTCGATATTCAGTATTTTATACTTAAATAGTACCTAATTGGACTCATTATTCTTGTATTTCGATTTAGGGCACGAAAGAAGGCATTAGGAGAAAAACAAGGCTAATCGGGTAATTTGACACAATTTCGGCGTCATGTGATAATTTGGGCATAACTCTCCCATCCAGACTTCAATTGAGATGATTCAAGATGCATTGGAAAGATAAGGAAAAGCTCTACAACTTTTCTGTTTTAAGTTTTGATAGATTCGGACAGAGTCAATGTCAAAATTGGACCCAAAATCTAAGCAAGTTCGTAGAGAAACCCAGTTCGCAAAGAAGCCTTGCAACGACCCAATTCGTTGAGGAAGCCCAATATGAATGCAAGAATCAAAGAGTCCTATCAGATTCAATTTTCTATTGTATTTCTATAAGGGTAAAAGAGATTAAGATTAATAGTTAAGAGATAGGAGTAGATTAGATGTAATCTAGGCATTATCTACTAGAAAACTGAACTCCCAATAGAGAAAGAACTCTTTAGAGGAGCAGGAGACAGCTCCCTCCTAAATCTATATAAAGGGGGTGGAATAGCACCCAGGGGCATCATGAAATCCTCCAAGAGAGCTTTAGCCTTCAAAAAGAGCAATCAGCAACCAAGGAGGAAAAAGCAGAGTTCGCCCCCTCTCATCTGGAAGCTGCGATTTCATCATGAAGTGCCTGTAAGGTTTTAATTTCTGGTTGAAGGGTTAGGGAAACTTTGATTCTATAAACATTATAATATCTAATTGATTTTTATTTCAGTTCATTGTTTATGGGTATTCATATGTTTTCTGCGGTTAACTGTGAAGATTATTTTTATTGATTAAGCAAGAAGGCGCCCTTGCTCATTCAATGAGAACAATCTATGGCCGATTAAACCCCCAGTTTCGTATATGATTGGTAGGTTTGATCATGGTGGCAACTAACATAAATTGATTGCAAAAAAGTTTTCAATCTATGTTAGGAAAATGTATGATCTGGTTTAAACGGTCTAAGCTTGTGAGATCGTTGACCAGAATTGGGCCTCTCCCCTCTTAATGCTATTAATAGATTAAATCCTAAGAGTTTGTTTAGGACTGTCTATTAATAAGAGAAGCAATCAAAGAGCTTGTTTTGGTTACCGAATAATACGAGTAGAGACTGGCTGTCAGAGCTTGTTAATGGCTATAACCAATTTATTCGTAAACATATGAATTTATCTTTGCATCGAGGATCAATGATAAGAATCAAGGCTGAACTTGTCCCTTCAACCAAAAGCTATCATCCATCGATTTGATCTTTGCTTTCTGTTATTTTCTTTATTTCATCTTATTTTCTTATCTTCACAACCCCCTACTTCGTTCACTTGGAAATAAATCCACCCAATCCCTGTGGAGACGACCTTGCTCATCACTATCTACAAATTATTTAATTGGAGCAAGACTTTTTATCTTTGGTTGGACTCAACACCCACCAAATTTTGGCGCCATTGCTAGGGATTGGTGTCCTAAATAGATTTATTTCCTTTTGTTTGGTTTATGCCTCGTTCTTCTCGTGTAGGTGAATTCCACTACGATCCCAAGATCGAAAACACGATTTGCCACTTGAGGAAAGAAGCCAAACAACGTCGCAACCAATCAGCATCACTCCCATCTCCCGGGGTGAAGTCGACTGCAGAGATCGTTGAGCTATCTAACCACCTTGAAGAAGAAATCATGGCCCACATCGAAGAGAGAACTCTTAGAGAGCTAGCTGCACCAGATCTGCACGAACAACCACTCTGCATCGAATATGCAGATCTAGCGGTACCTTTCGAACTCAAATTTGGTCTTATCCACTTACTTCCTACTTTTCGTGGACTTTCAGGTGAAGATCCCCACAAACACTTAAAAGAATTCCATGTAGTATGCTTAAGCATGAAACCTCAAGGTGTTACCGAGGAACAGATCAAGCAGTGTGCCTTTCCTTTCTCATTAGTTGATAAAGCTAAGGATTGGCTTTACTACTTACCCTCCGGTTCTATAACCACATGGAACGATATGAAAAGGCAATTTCTTGAAAAGTTCTTCCCTACCTCCCGAGCTGCTAACATCAGAAAGGAGATCTGTAGTATAAGACAATTTAGTGGGGAAATTCTCTACGAATACTAGGAGAAATTTAAGCAACTCAGTGCCAGCTGTCCGCAACATCAGATTCTAGACCAGCTCCTTATCCAATATATCTACAAAGGGTTATTGCCGATGGATAGAAGTATGATTGATGCAGCAAGCAGAGGTGTGTTGGTGAACAAAACTCCTACCCAAGCAAGAGAATTAATTTCGAACATGGTAGCCAATGCACAACAGTTCGGCATTAGACAAGAGTCCATCCCAAGGAGGGTAAATGAGGTAAGCACTTCTTCCATCGATCAACGATTAGATACCCTCACCTCTCTCGTGGAAAAACTAGTTGTAGGCCACGTGTAGCAAGCAAAGACGTGGCATTTGTTCAACTACGGGTCATCCAACTGACATGTGCCCTACACTTCAACATGAACCCTATGAACAAGCCCATGCTGTTGGAGGCTTCCCACAAAAGAGATACGATCCACATTCAAATACCTACAATGCAGGATGGAGAGATCATCCTAACCTTAGCTATGGAGCCAAGCCCTTCGATTTTCAACAACATCATCAATCTAGACCGCCGGTTCCACAATATTCGTCTTCCAACCCAAGTATGTCTCTAGATGAAATTGTTAAAGCACTTGCAACTAACACTCAACAATTTCAACAGGAGACAAGGACAAGCATCTGAAACCTGGAGAATCAGTTCAGCCAATTGGCAACTGCTGTAAGTCGAATAGAATCTCAAGTATTTGGAAGGCTACCCTCCCAGACCACAGCTAATCCGAAACAGAATGCTAGCGCAATCACCCTGAGAAGCGGGAAGGAGCTGGATGAACCTAAAGATACAACTAAAGAAGAGAAAGAAAAGGAGACACCATCACCCCAAAAAAATTCAAGCGGAAAGCAACCCCAAGCCATAGTCACCGCTCCACCTTTTCCTAGCCGATTTGCAAAATCCAAGAAGGAGGAGCAAGACAATGATATTCTCGAGACATTCCGCAAAGTTGAGGTAAATATCCCCCTCCTTGATGCAATCAAGCAAGTACCCCGCTATGCTAAATTCCTCAAGGAGTTGTGCACCACTAAGAGAAGGCTGAAAGGCGATGAGAAAGTCCATATAGGGGAAAGTGTTTCAGCAATTCTCCAAAAGAGACTACCCCCTAAATGCAAAGATCCAGGTACGTTCACTATCCCCTGTAAAATAGGAAATGTCTAGATCGAAAAAGCAATGTTAAATCTAGGAGCTTCGATAAATGTCATGCCCCATTCCATTTACATGACCATGAATCTTGGACCATTGAAAGAGATGGGTGTGATCTTACAACTCATTGATCGATCTACTACATACCCAAAGGGGGTTTTGGAGGACATATTGGTGCAAGTTAATAATCTGGTCTTTCCTGCCGATTTCTATGTGATTGATACGGAAGAAGATAGTTCTTCCAATTCGACTCCAATTTTGTTGGGAAGACCCTTTCTTAAGACATCCAAAACTAAAATTGATGTGTATAATGGGACACTTACCATGGAATTTGATGGTAAGATTGTTAAGTTTAATATTTATGATGACATGAAATATCCTATTGATGATAATCCTGCCTATTCCGTTGATGTGATTGATTTTTCAGCACAAGAAGTTTTTAAACTTGATGGGAATGATGTATTGGAAATCACCATTAGTAAGCATCCTGAGAAAGAGGAGTTAACATGGAGTTCTAAATTGCAAGAAACTATTGCAACATTGAATGGTTCTCCAGAGTTACAACAATTAGGTAATGCTCCTTATATTATGCTGCCAACTTTTGATAGGAAACCTTTACCCTTTGTTTTGCAGGTCCCTATTCCAATTTTGAACCCACCCATGATAGATGAAAGGGGAAAGCACCGGAAGTTGCAATTACAAGACCTGGAGGATCCGGTTTATGATTAAAAATAGGGAAGTTTGTTTTTTCTTTTTCTTCTTGTTTTTGCATTTATAGTTTAGTTATTTCCACTTTTTCTTTGCATTGGGGACAATGTAAGTTTTAAGTGTTTTCTATTTAAAAAAAACACTCAACTCTTTTGAAATCAATTGAAACAATATTCTAGGGAAATTTTTGTGAACTTAGTAATGAGGTACAATCAAGAAGTACACCACTTACCTGAAGCCATTTCCTGTTAAGCTAGTCCTAAATTTAGGTTTAAGTAAATAGGGTGAATATTTTTGGTAGGATGGAGCACAAAATGCACCTACTAGCTAGCAATTCAAACAATAGGACGGAGCATAAAATGCACCTACTGGCCGAGTAATCCTAAAAGTGAGATGGAGCATAAAATGCACTCACTTCCACCAAGGAGAGAAAAAAAAAGAGAGAAAAGATAAAAATGTTTTCCCTAGTTTACTACCTAGTTTGTAGTAGCAAAAATTGGATTGGTTGATGGATGAGTTGTGTATGACTTGGTTGTGTTGATTTAACGGTTTGCAATATTTAACCTAGAATATTTGTGGAGAAAGATGAAGGGGAGTTGAGCTTAAAAATCGGTAGGATAGTTAGTTTGTTCTTGTTTTATTTTTACTTGAATTTTGTCTTGCCCGAGGACGAACAAGGTTTAAGTGTGGGGGATTTGATGAGAATAAAAATTATCATATTTTTATCCCTCAATATTCAGTATTTTATACTTAATTAGTACCTAATTGGACTCACTATTCTTGTATTTCAATTTAGGGCACAAAAGAAGGCGTTAGGTGAAAAACAAGGCTAATCGGGTAATTTTTGCACAGTCTCAGCAACCAAGGAGGAAGAAGCAGAGTTTGCCCCCTCTCATCTAGAAGCTGCGATTTCATCATGAAGTGCTTGTAAGGCTTTAATTTCTAGTTGAAGGGTTAGGGAAGCTTAGATTCTATAGACATTGTGAGATCTAATTGATTTTTATTTCAGTTCATTGTTTATGGGTATTCATATGTTTTCTGCGATTAACTGTGAAGATTATTTTTATTGATTAAGCAAGAAGGCGCCCTTGCTCATTCAATGAGAACAATCTATGGCCGATTAAACCTC